AAGGTAAGGATGGGATAGCATTAGGATCTAGGAAACGGTAAGAGATACAGGGTGACTCAAATTAGAAAAAGGTTTTTTTAAACCTAACAATATGCCGGTTAGAAAGTTTTAAAATTCCAGAGATATCCGGAAAACCCCGATATTTTGTGCTGTATTGACTTTTACACTGTTATGACTTCCACCAATAGATATTTTGAAAGCGTTCAGAACCGTAGTCAGGAAAAATTTTAAATGATAGCTAACAAACTAAAAACCTTTTTAAGCGATTACAATAGGTAGTAATATCATCTAATTCAGAATTAAAAATGACTTTAAATTTTGTCATAAAAATTGCAGCGACGTATTTAAAAAAATTAACCTGATAATGGCCCCTCGAAGACGAAACGTCGGATTGCAAAAATGTTGACACCATTGGATAGATCGTCAAAGTGGCACTGTAAATATGCAATTTATTTTAAAATTCGTTTTCATATAGTCAGAAAAAAATAAAACGATTTTACAAAATTTCGGGGTTTTACGGATATCTCCGCAACTACCCGGAATTTTAAAACTTTCTAAACGGTATATTGTTAGGTATAAAAAACATGACTTTTTCTAATTTGTGTCACCCCGTATCTCTTACCGTTTCTTACCGTAGATCCTAATGCTATCCCAGCAGTATCTTGGACACACTGTATAGATATTGCTGTATCAAATTTCGTGAAGCTATCGTTATACGTTCTTGAAATTTTAAGAAAATGTTTTTTTTATTGAATTACCATATCCCGAAAACAGGACGTTTTCTGGCCAAAGTTAATGTAAACTTAGTAAAACTAAGCAGAAAATTTTGTGGGCACCCACGAAGAAGTGCATAATTTTTATTTTATAGAAAATTATGTCAATGTAAAAAATAGTAGGTACCTAAGTCTATTAAGAGTGTCGATTATATCATAACTTGGACACCGATGACGTCACAATAAATTGAGGTATCAAAAACAGGTTCTAAATCCATTGATAGATTCCCGTTTACTAACGTTTCGTAAACAATTCTAAATCTTATATCTTCTATCGAAAATTTAAAAAATTTTTACCAAGCTAAGGTAAAATGTATAAAATCAAATTAAAACGTTATTTTTATACACATTCAAATACAACAGCTGTCAAATACCACAATGACAGCACAATAATGATGGCTCCTTTCAAACAACACAATTTTTGTTTAATTTCCAAGACCTACTATTGCAATGTCTTTTAATTCCTGCCGACTGCAGATTATTTTCATTGCTTTTGCTGATTGTTCTAAAACGGCTACTCCATTTTATTTAGAATTTGAAAATTTGTCAAACTATGTTAAAAAAATACGGTGTTGCCATTTAAAAAAATATTGTTTTAGTAGCTACTGAAAAAATCTGGCAACACCGGAAAACATTTGTAAATTTTTATTAGTCAGGTTATTTGCTGCAACTTTGCATTGGAAGTACTAGTCTATCACTTCAAAAAAGTTGGCCTATGTCAGGTTTTAAAATTACACTGTATATTAAATAAAATAAATTAAACAAAATATGATAAATGCCATGTTACACTAATGGGCCATTGTCCATAGTTCTAAAACACCCTCTTGCCCATTCTGGTATGTATCTATGCGTTAAACTAAATTATGTAAGCTTTATTATAAAACATACTTTAACTAAAAGGTTAATTACGGTAAATGTTCAATTCCTGCTAAATGTAAATGTACTTTAAAAGCCAAGGTTAAAATCGTTTAATTAATAAATCATATAAACAAGTTATGCATGTTTGTAAGATATATAAAATGCAAAATGCAGGATAAGTGTTCTGACTTTTCCTGCAGCAAGAAGCAAGAGTAAACTTCTATTTATATAAATGAATTTTTGACGTTGTTTTCCTTCAAAACCACACATACATGGCGTTACTGAAATTATATAATTCGATACATGTGCTTTTAGTTAAGTATGTATTTTTTACTTTAATGGAGTTCTAGACACATATACAGTGTGTGCCTGTTTTGTTAATCAGACTTTGGGAGCGGATAGAACAACCAAAAACAATGGCGCTTTATTCTAAAAATATTTAGTGTAATAAAGATATTTGAACTAAATTTGCTTTTTGTTATATTGGGTCAAGTGTCCATAAAATACTAGAATATCAAAACCCTTGCGTAACCAGTGGTGACGATAGTAGGAGACAACGTTATTAAAACATCATAGTTTCGATGTCACTAAATATTTTATAAATTCGATAGTTCGTTTAATTCCCAATTGTATTTCAAATAAAAAATATTCCTTCATTATATTCGAAAAATTAATTATTTCCCATTTATATATTTTCTTATCTTAAAAAGTTTTCTACATAGTTTAATAAATCGAAAATAATGCTAAAACTGATTCACAAAAAAGAATATTGGATTTTTTAATTACAAATACAATTTTAAATACAAGTAATCATTAAGTCCAGAAAATTCGGTCGTGTAGAAAGTTCTTACACTTTGAAAATTTTAAAATATTTTTAAAATAATATCTGGAAAAAAACATATACATGATGTATATGTTTTTTGTGGAACTAACAGTTTTAAAATTTATTCATATATGCGGCAGGCTTATTTTGGACAAAAAAAAATAAAATGAAGGTGATACGTTTTCTTTAAAATACAATTATAGCGTCGAAATCCGGACATTCTTAATGACGGTATGTCCCAGTATCTCCGCCACTGATACGCAAGAGACTTGCATCATTTTAATTAATCTTCTATTATTTCACCTAAATAAAATTTTTGAAAATAACGCGGAATTTAAACAATCTTTTCGAGACATAGGAAAAGGTTGATACATCGAAATTAATTTATAAGACAAAGTATCATAATTTTTTAGTGTCCTGTATGTTCCTAAAGCATGATAGCTCAAAAATGGGACATCCTGTATACCTTCCTACCCGATTTATGACAGTCTAAGCTATCATGTTAACAGTATTCCGAAAGAAATGAGTTTTAAAGAATTAACGTCTCTAAGTATATTATATAATTGGAAAACGATAAATTTTTTATACTACGTCCCGATAAATATTTTCGAATTTGTTGCATTATAAAAACACTACTGAATAATTATTGTGCCCACCATATATTGTTTTATTTCAACACGTCTTCTGACGGTACCTACTGATTTATTGGCAGCTACCAAACTTGTATAGCTCCAAAACAATAACTGGAAACTGAATCAGCTCATACTTGCAACCATTTTTGATAACCTGTAGTGGTTTGTAACGTGGAATTTTTAGTTCCGGGCAACAACAATAGTGGCGCCACTTTAGAAGTCATCACGTCAGCGCTCTGAAAATGTCGGTATGCTTGAATGCTATTTTGTAAGCGAAAAAATAAAGGAGGTAACTTTAATATGGTCAATTCTCAAAATTTATCTTTGAGTCTATGTGTGACATCTTTCATTTTTTAAATTCATTCAAGAAGATTGTAGCTGCACTTTTAACAAGTGTGGATATCGTTTAAAAACATCTTTGAACGTGGTTTCATTTTCAAACTATGACTACATATGTTAGTAATGTCACTGTTATAATATTATTTAGTTGATCACATAATAGAGATAGGTAGTTTCTTTTTCTGAATTATTACTTATATCTGGATTCTCAATACTCAGCCAGTATTTGTCTTTTCCTACATTTGATGTTTTCAGTTAAATTCGTCTGTTGAAGTTGTCATAGTCATTTATTTCATTATGATTTGTTGTTGCGTCTGATTTGTAATAATAGTACATTTTTCTCTAAACTTTATTTATACAGAAACAGAATATTCATGGTACAAATTTAGGATATAATTGTTATCGATGGAAAGAACAAGATTTTATTTATATCAATGCTTTCAAGAGCAAATCGACTTCTGACTAAAATATTTTCTAGAAAAATCATTTAACTGATAATTATCGCTAATACTATTATTTATTATAAACGCTTGCAAATCACCTACTTTTATTTAATCCAAATAAGTTGTTAACATCACTTTTAAACGTTATTATATCAGTTTTCTTTAATAAATACGAACTTTGTCTATATATCTCATAAAACAGTTTTTAAGTAGCTATTGTAGATAAGTATTGCGGAAAGATAAATTCTGATACCGATTTAAAATTTATATTATTTATAGGTAGGTGTATTTTTCAAATTTATAAAAAAATATAAGTAGGTATCTATTTTTGATAGAGCATTTAAGTTAATAAGTGCAACCATCGTAAAATAGCACACTATGAGTAATATGTTTGTCATTAGGAGATGTTAGAAAGGTACCGTTACTTTACAGGCAGTTAACGTTTCATATTTCATAGTGTCTTGACAAAAACTAAATTCGTTTATAATATTTTTTACATTAGGAAGAGTTACTGTCATTAATTATAAGTACCTGTATGCAGGATACATTCTCTGGTATAGTTAAATACAGCAACAAAAAAAAAAGCAAAACAATTATCCGTATCTTATATCAATTTGACAAAAACTGTGTATGCACTTTGATCGTTTATTTGGGTTACTTGTCTATCCGCTAGTTCAAGTCTCCACACCACAACGAAAAATGTAAAGATTAAAGAATTAAGAGAAATAAAATCTCTTTATTTTTGTTTTGCTACGTACGTACCTACCTACGTTTATATTAATATTGTTTTTATACACCACCCGATCTCCATTCCTAAAACGTAAAAACCGTACAGCCTGTGGGTATAAACAAAGACTGCGATAAATAACATACACGAGCTTTGAAAAATAAATGGACAGACAACCCACACAATGAATTGGATTTCAAATAACTGCAAATTTGGAAATGTGTCATATTTCTGTAGTTTGAGTACTATTTTTAAAAATAGTAAATGATTTTTGTTTAAGTATTTTTTATTTGGATTTGGATAAGATACGTAAACGGTTTGCATTGTCTTGCACAATTTAGGAACAGTATTGAGGATATATCTGAAGCTTCTCTTAATATACGCATGTATTAATTATGTCCTTACCGTCTTTTTTCTGTACGATCAGCGACAAGGGTTGTGAATCCCCAAGAATGCATCCGAGTTCGCTTTTCGCGTTTGTTGCGTTCTGGGACTCGTTAAGCCTTAGCTGCTGTTGATGTAGACGGTTTTTGATCAGGAATATTTTTGGCATTTTGGTTTAACGAATTGTCAAATACCACTGATACACTGAATCCTTTCATGTAAAGTGTCACTGTGTCACTTCACTAACATCACGTGGGTGAACAAATACACAGTTCCATTAGTTTTCAACACTGTCGAGTTTAGTTAAGTCCTTAGAGGATGTAATTTTATGTACAGTACTGTTAATTCACGTGTCTGCTCCAATGAAGTCCTTGTGAAGACTGATGACCGCTAGAAGTTCCAACGATGTGAACCGTTGTGTGTACCCCTGACCCCCCTGGCCCCTTCACCGTTGTGAACTTGTGGAGGTTACCTATTCGAACTCGCTTGGCATTGGATAATAGTGGGGGTACCTGTGTGTGTTTGCAATACCAAATGAACACCATGGAGTACCTGTCTGTACACTGTTTTCATGCTTTTGACTGATCATTTTGTTGCTCGAATCTGATTTGCTTATGCGGAGTTATTGTTGGCCGGCGTTAAATACGTGTAGGTTATGGTTTGATGCTAAAGGACAATGAATATAGGCATCACTGGGAATAATATCGGTAACATATTTCCCATCGTAAAATAAAGAATAGACGAAAAGAGTTTAAACATTAGGCACTCTTCTATAATTTTTCAAATATTTTCTACTACACTGAAAGAAATGCGTTTTATTCTTTATTAGAATTCTATATACCATTATAAGACCATTGTATACTATATGTGACAGTTAAACAGATGAATATTGGATATAAAACGCGTATTGCTAGCACAGTTGTATAGTGACTATAAACCTTATTCTTTATTAAATTATTGTATAACTAGTATACAACGTTTTTTATACCCTTTACGAAATAATAGCAATAACTGTTATTAAAGTGTTCCATATCGTTATTAGAACATCTAGTACTGGTTATAAGTTTTATAATAATAAATGTATTAAACTGTTGTATACTCTGTATGAGTTAAAAACATATGTCATTAAGTTTTCAGAAATTTTATTGGATAACTGTAATTACAAGCTAAGGTTCTAATGTAAACATACATAAAACATACTTTTAAGCATTAAAAATGATGACAAATCGCTCCCAAAACTGTCCAGTTTATTTTCTTAGCAACGATGCACCCGTATTTTCTTGTATTACATGAGAATTTGCACTATAACTCTTCCACCTTAAGAATGAAGCATCCCCAGAAAGGTTGAGCTTCTTTCCATATAATTTTATTTCCTCTGGTTGATTGACTTTATACCCATGCTCTTCTTTGTCACCGTTAACCTTCTGTTCCTCCATCTTATGTAAAACTTAACATCAGCGATTTCTAATAGGACCTACAAAATAATAATTTTTAAGATTTAGACAAGATTTACATTTGAAAAAACAAAACAATTACAAGCCATAAAACAGTTAGATACTTACATAATAATTTTCCATTTCACACAACGCGATATGATCATGTATCCCACAAAACATGTGCATATACTGTCCATTTTCATCAAACTAGACGTGTGTAAGTCGATGCACAGCGGACTGTCGGAAATTTTACGATTGTTGTATTTTCTCTTCTTGAGTAAAGATAATAAAGACGTTGTGGTTTTGTGTGTTTATTTTGACAATGATTGAACATGTATGGACAATAAAAGTGGACTGTATAAGATAGTTGAGTACCGTTCTGCTTCATGCATAGCATGCTACTGAAATCTTAGAAGGGATGAGCTCGTGCGGCGAACCCTAAATCAGCGGCTGGAATAGCCAGGTTTCTTATTGAGTCGGCGCACTTCGCTCTCGGGTCTGACATATGATTATTATTACAAGACTATGAATATAACTTAACAACGATCATAACCGATTATGCACCGAGAGGTGACGATCACTTAACCATTATAAGATGCGTTTTACACGTTAAAAACGGAAACATATTCAGTATAAGAACGAATAATTCTGTTAATACAATTGTTATATACAAATTCGGATACTGGTCTTTATACAACAAATCTTCCCTACTATACAACTGGAGTATAAAGTCTATAACACCTAATAATGTATAAGTAATTCATTATAACCTTTATTTCATAGATGCATAAGGTGTATTAAGCACCTTCCAGTTAAACTGATTGAATAATGGAGATGATTGCTCTTTTTTAATAAAAGTTGTATATTGGTTTTATAAAAGTTTTAATATGCGCTATACACATTATTCTAGATAAACAGTTTAATAAGCCCATTTCCTTCAGTGTAGAGTAATGAAAGTAATCAAATTATTTTACACAAAAATGTAGTATTTAAAATTTTGATATTGGTACACTGTAAATAAATCGGCCTGAGTGAAAGCTGTGTGTGAATCCATTGATAAAATTATTGAGTACATTTTCAGTCAATACTAGGCATTTTGATAATTTTTTACACATTTTTGATAATATTTGAACTACAACTGATAGTTTTGGGTACCTACCTACTCATACTAATAGAGAAAATTTCATTCAATCGAGTGGACAAAAATTGATACATTATTGAGTGAAATTGAGTGAAAATAAGTTTTCTTCCAGTGTACAGCAAAGAAGTGTTGTGATTTTGAAACGAAAGCAGGAAATACAGGTTATCCCAATTACAGTCGTACGATATTTCTTGACATAGAATTCCAAGAAGACCCCTGCGTCACTTTCTTGGAATTAACCGCATTCGACACACAAGGTAGAAAGACATTGGCGGCGTGGCGTTCACCGTAACAGCTTGCAGTCCATACTGTGTTTTACAGTTACGGAGGCCTGTTTCTTCGTAAGTGTATCGTCCTATGCATTTTCAGTGTAATTTCTTATTAAAATAAATCAATGGGGGTTAAAATATTTTAATCCAAAAAATCTACTTTATGTCCTTATATACAGGGTGTCCACTTTTTTTTATTTAGAAAAGTACTGCATTTCCGGTTAAATCAAAAGGGGCAGAAAAAGTTTCCCTTATGAAATTATTCCATTTGGTACCATTAATAAACTAGCGATAAGGGGGAATCTTATGGTTTATAAAAAATCTGATAGTACCAGATGATGTTAACAAAATGAAAGAATAGTTATAGTTATCCAAAAAAAGAAAAAAAAATGAGTTTTCACGCTACAGATTACAAAAACTAAAGACATCATGCTAAACTGTTATCCTTGCGCAACTTTTTAGTAATTTCACGAGTTTTGTACCTAGCTAGATTCCATGATGAGTCAGAATCAAATATTTAATCTAGTAATAGGGCCAGGTATTCTTTTTCCAATTTATTTACATTTAATATTTTACAATTATATTATGCTCTCAATGATAAACAAAATTTACATAAAATTCCAAATTAACAACTTCAACTACTTATTTGTCATGGTTATAATTATGCGAAGAATAACGTTATCATTCTTACAATGAAAATCTAAACGATAAGAGTTTTTCCTAGAACAACAATACACGAGAATCTTTAAATATTTATTATCTTCACGCACGATTATCTGGAATAACTACTGATTTTTAATAATTTGACTACGCATTGTAACTTAAGAGATATATAGATATTAATTTACCTTTTTATTGACAAGAAATAGATAGCCAAATATACAGGGTGTTTGAGAAATATATGCACTTAACTCATCCAAAACAATAACTTTTGTCTAATATTTTTTTTCTAAAACCTCTTAGTTTTCCAGATAGTATAGTAAATTGTGAATATTTGTTGACTGCCATTGACGCATAAATCGAAATGCTTTAAACAAACAAAAGGTAGGTACCTACATTAATTAAAGTTAGAAAAGCAACACAAATAAAAGAAGAATATAAGGCAATCTTAGCATAAAATACAAAATTCAAGTCTAAAAGCTAATTTGGAAAATACTATTAAATATAATTACATCTTCTTATGCCTTTTGTCACTTTATAGATATTTTTCAATTTTTCAAGCAAATGATATTGATTTTCTAAATAAACAATGAAGTAATTTACCTGTCTTTCATTTTTCAAAGTTGTTAATTTCTTGTTATAATATAAAAGGGTATTTTTAAACGAGATTTGTACTGAATAAATTTCCATCAACCCCCTAATATAAGAAACGTCAACTAAAATGCTGACTAGGTAGGTTTACCTTTATCAATAAACTGTATGATAAATATTACATAAAACTACAACAATGTTTAATAGCGGTTAATATAATTCGAGCAGATTTACGGAACAGAGTCTGTATTTTTAAAAGCAATTTACATAAAGGCAATACGTGACGTGTGTGTTCCTGCACCTGTTGTCCTAATGGTCCACGTATAACATATAGTACAGGTGTAACAACAAAGCTGCACTACTAGTGTGCATTGTTGCCAACTTTCGTTTAAAAATAAACAGATTTTATGGCATTACGAATAAATTAATAGAACTGATAAATGTCAGCAGCTTGTAAAATAGTATTATAGCTCCTATTTTGTTAGACATAAATTATTTATGTTACTTGATTTTAAATTATATTCTTTAAAAATCACGTATATGCAATTCTAATAAAATGAGCAGTTCTGTAAATAGAGCTAAACATAAAATAGTTTTAGATAAATATACCTTTTTTTTTGTGGAAAAAATATTATTTAATAAGAAGGCACTTCCGTATTGCGGACAATGACTTAAAGGTTTTTAAAAATAATAAATTTTAGAGAAAAAAATTTAGACATTATTAAAACGAAGAAATCTGGGGAAAAGTATTATCTTGGATATAACACACGCACAGGTATAGTTGTATTTAGAATAAACCAACTGCGACTATTTCTATATTCTCAAAATTTGATTTTGTATTGAAAATTTAACACTAGTATGTTAATTAGTTAAAAAAAGATCAATATTTAAAGTATGTAAAACAACACCAACTTAAAAAAAATGGAATTAAAATATAGAAAAACATTAAGCAATTGCACAATAATTACAAACAAATTTTAAAATTTAATTATACATATTTATGTACCTATTTCAAATGTAGGAAAACAAATTCCAAAGGTAAGCTTTTGAGAGTCATGACTTTAACGGACTATTTAACAAACTTTAGAAATTTTAAAAGGGCTATTTATTTTCCTATAGTTTAATTTAATTTTGACAAAGTTGCACTTATGGGCGTAGCCAAGATTTTTATAGCAGTGGGAGCAACGAAACTATTTTCCCTTAACCTCAAAAAACAGCTCAAATTCAAAGAAAATCGATTTTTTCTTAAAATAGTTAAGACTTTAAAATTAAAGTACACAGTGTTTTACG